GGCAACTAATAACCTGTACAGCTCACTAAGAGACAACAGTTGCTAGAACTGCTCTAATCCTATACTGAGAGGAAGGTGGTGATGGTCAAATAACTAAAATAAAGTAAAGGTAAAATGAAAATGTCCGAGTAGCTTTTGGAAACTAAAAGTGAGGAGTACATAAATTGATTTAATTAAATTTCAGATTTAAATAAATTCAACTTAGCTGAATTGGTACAGTCAAACTAAAAGTTAAATAAATGAAATTAAATTAAAGAGAGGTAGAATAAAGACAAAATAAATATAACACAAAACCGAAGTATGTGAGGAGGGGCCAACCTAACTGAGTCTAAACAGAAGGTGATAGCATAAACAGGAGGTGAAACTTCAAGTTCAAGAAAATTCAAGTCACCTTTATTTATATAGCGCTTTTAACAATACAGATTGTGTCAAAGCAACTGTACAGCATTAATTAGGAAAATAGTGTGTCAACGCAAAATGACAATAGTATACACAATTTTCAGTTAAAGGCAATCCATCATTGAATTCAGTGATGTCATCATCCCAGCTCAGTTCAGTTTAAATAGTATCTGTGCAATCGACAATATAGCTGGAAATTAAGTGTCCCCAACTAAGCAAGCCAGAGGCAACAGCAGCAAGTAAACCAAAATTCCATCGGTGACAGAATGGGGGGGAAAAATAAAAAATAAAAATAAAAAGTCCTCTGGCCAGACAAAAATCAAGTTCTTCAGTTCAATTCCAGGCTGCAGCAAAGTCACATTGTGCAGAGGATTCATCTGGTTCCTGTGGTCTTGTCCCGGTGGCCGTCTAGGAGACAAGGTCTTCACTGGGGATCTGTCTCTGGGGCTCATCCAGTTGTCCTGATCTCCGCTGACATTCAGGGCTGTATAGGTCATCTGTAGGGGCTGATCCACCATACGTACTGGATCCGGGTGACTGCAGTGACCATCTGATCTGGATACAGACTGGATCTGGTGGCTATGGTGACCTTGGAATAAGAAAGAAACAGACTAATATTAGCGTAGATGCCATTCTTCTAACGATGTAGCAAGTACAGCGGGTGTTATGGGAAGTGTTCCCGGTTCGGGTTGTCCTAATTAATGCAGCCTAAAATCCTTTAACGGATTTGAATATTAGAAATGTGTTAGAGCGTTATGTGTAAGCCAGGTTAAAGAGAAGAGTCTTTAATCTAGATTTAAACTGACAGAGTGTGTCTGCTTCCCAAACAGTGTTAAGTAGGTTATTCCAGAGTTTGGGCGCCAAATAGGAAAAGGATCTTCCGCCCGCAGTTGATTTTGATATTCTAGGTATTATCAAATTGCCAGAGTTTTGAGAACGCAGCGGACGTGGAGGACTATAATGCAATAAGAACTTGTTCAAAGTCGGAGGTGCTAAACCATTCAGGGCTTTACAAGCAAGATTTTAAAATCTATACGATGTTTAATAGGGAACCAGTGCAGTGTTGACAGAACTGGGCTAATATGGTCATACTTCCTGGTTCTAGTAAGAACTCTAGCTGCTGCATTTTGGACCAGCTGGAGTTTTTTTTTCATTAAGAGTGCAGAACAACCTCCCAATAAAGCATTACAATAATCTAACCGTGAGGCCATGAACGCATGAATTAACATTTCTGCATTTGGCATTGAGAGCATAGGCCGTAATTTATATATATTTTTGTTATGGATAAATGCAGTTTTACAAATGCGGCTTTCAAAAGGAAATATTGCTATCAAATAGCACACCTAGGCTCCTAATTGATGAAGAATTGACAGAGCAGCCATCAAATGTTAAACAGTGTTCTAGGTTATTATATGCAGAGTTTTTAGGTCGTACAATTAACACCTGTTTTTTCAGAATTTAGCAGTAAGAAATTACTCGTCATCCAGTTTTTTTATTTTTTATTTTGACTATGCATTCCGTTAGTTTTTCAAATTGGTATGTTTCGTCGGGCCGCGAAGAAATATAGAGCCGGGTATCATCAGCATAACAGTGAAAGCGAACAGTGTTTCCTGATGATATCTCCCAATGGTAACATGTAAAGCGTGAAAAGTAACGGCCCTAGTATTGAGCCTTGAGGTACTCCATATTGCACTTATGATACTATATGATACCTCTTCATTCACTGCTACGAATTGATGGCGGTCAGATAAGTATGATTTGAACCATGCTAATGCACTTCCATTAATGCCAGCAAAGTTTTCTACTCTATTCAAAAGAATGTTCTTCAGCTCAGTCTGGAAATTGGGGTCTGCGGTCCAAGACAATATCCTCCGAGATCCCAAAACACTGGATGATGTGTTTGAAGAGGGTCTCAACCATGTCAAGAGCAGAAGGTAGGCCGTTCAAGGGGATCAATTTACAGGCTTTGGAGAATGGATGAATTCTTGCTTAAGAGCCTCCTCTATGTACTCTTCCATGGCCTTCTGTTCCAGGATGGACAAGGGATAAATCTTCCATTTGTGTAGCATTGCTCCAGACAGCAGGTTGATTTGCACATTCCCATGGCCGATGTAGTGGTAATTTTGTGGCCAACTGCTTGCTAAACATCCTGGAATGCACGGTACTCGAGGGGGATCTCCTGTTGCTCAGTCACTTCAGGGCTCTCAATGGTGGTTGAGTTAAGGAAGATGGATTCTGACAGATCCGATCCAGTGCTGGTTGACCTGGTAGTTCTAGGCTTCTTGAAAAGGTTTAGGCATGATTCGAAGTAGGAATCTCCCCACCGTTGGATTTCTCCACTCCTCCAGCAGACCGAAGGCCAATGTTATAATAACCAGGGGTGTCCCAGGATGACTGGGAGCAGTGGAACCCTCGAGCACCATGAAAGAGATCTTCTCCTGATGAAGGCATCCTATGTGGAGTGTCACTGTGGGGTGCAGTGTCTGATGTACCATGGCCCAGCTGCTTTCCCAAAATAGAGTGAAAGTTTTGAGCACAGGCTGTTTTTTTGATGTGGAGTTGTTTGAGGAGATCGGGGAGATAAATAAGGGCTTGCGCAGAAACAGGAGTATCAGAAGGTCAAAATAACATCAGTTTGGGTTTAAGATGCTCTCAAGGGCGGTAGATGAATTGCGCTCACTGCTGGGTGTGGGGTCGGTACCTTCGTGCGGAAGGTACACTTCAAACACAGCCGATTAAGGATTTGGCGTTGACGCTTTGCATGAGACAGATGAAAAGAGTCTACTTGCATGGCATCAGGTGCTGGAGGGGCAACAGGAAGAGGATAGTAAGCAGGTTGGGAGATGCTAATAGATTGTTGAATAAAACTTTTGTCCAATTACATCATATATGGCCATATGTTGACAGATGGTGGGATTAAGGCCTTGACGGTATGCTGTTATCAGTGCCATTTCATTCCATCCACTGACTGCTGCCAATGTGCGGAATTGTAAGGCATAACCTGTTGTGGAAGGTTTACCTTGACGGAGATTGAAGAGATGATTGTGTACACAGAAAGAGCTGGCTGTTTTACCAAACAATTACTTGAAATAATGGGTGAAGGCAGTCAGTGAACTGCTTATGGGACTGTTGGCCTCCCATATGGATCTTGCCCACTGGAGCACACACCCGGAGAGGAAAGCGAGGATGTATGCGATCTTGGCATGATTGGTTTGGAATAGATAGGGCTGCATCTCAAAGTATAATGAGCACTACAACAAAAACCCGCTGCACTCCTCTGCTTCACCAGAGTATGTAAGTGGTTCGGTCATGTGACTGGCAGAGGCAGATAGCGAAGAAGTGGTGACGGGTGGCTGGAATTGTCAAAGGCCATGGACCAGTTCGGCACACGGATCGGGGGGAGGAATACCAGCTTCACTGATCTCCGTTCTGTGTTGCGTTGTTTGGTCTGGTCTTCTGTTATAAGATCAGATGGAGATCGACACACAGATAACAAACATGTTATTTAAGCAGATGTTGGATTTATAGTAACGGTTCCTTTTCTTGCAGGTGAAAGCTGCCAGACAGATGGGACTGAAGAAAGATGTAGAAGCAGACAGACCGATGGGAGGTAAGTATCCGCGGTAAGGGGAGTCTTAAATGGAGATCTTGATTAGTAGGTGTAGGTGCGGGTGATTAGAACTCACCATTTGGTGTGACCATCCATTGCGTTTAAAGCAGATTTTACCCTAGGTGCACTTGAGCATAGTTTTTCCAGGTAGCTTTGCAGGAAGGTTTCTTGAAGCATCTTGGAGACATTGCCACGGTTCTTCTGGATTTAGTCGGTCTCCGTTTGTTCGGTTTTTTAATGTCATTACAGACAGACTGGATGATGAGATCAGATCTCAGTGTGGAGCACTGGCTGTTGTCAGACTCCTTGTGCAAACAAATCTCACTGGATTATTACAATTAATAGCAAAATGAATGTTTGAAAATGTAAAATGATATTTCCTACAGACACTACAGCAAAAGATAGAAATATCTGACTTGAAACCATTTTTAACTGGTGAAAATACTAGTGTTCCAATTCCACCACTGTAACTACTGAGGATTTTCCACCGTGGCCTTATACACCCAGATGTTTCAGGTGGGGCCAAGCATATACATTTTGCTTGCCAATTCCCATTGGCCTTCTCTAGAAAGACTGAAGGTGATTTGTGCACTGAAAAGCAAACTCCTAGTGGCAAACAAACAACATCTCCATTTTCTCCCCTGGGTAACAAGGGTTGCCATAAATAATTGAGACATTTCTCTTGTTATAAGGATAGTTTACCTAAAAATTATAATTCTGTCATCATTTACTCACCCTTGTCACAACTGGATTGAGATGGACAAGGTTGGTACAGGTTATATGAGCTTCTTTATTTCCATAAATAGAATACCAACTCAAATGGGTAAGTATCAACATAAACGGTCTCAGAAAGCTCACTTAACTGAAGATATCAAATCCTTATCTCTTTCTTGCAGGTAAATCCACACGAAACTCAGAAGTCCATTCAAGCAAATCCAACAGGAAAATCACAGTCCAGGAGTAACAGGATCCAGCAGGTAAGTGAGGGAAGCTACGGATAGTGTGCAACCTTGAGACCAGACAACAGTGAGTGTGGTGCTGGCTTATGAAGAGGGATTAATGAGGCTGATGGCAGGCAGGTGTGGTGATTGTTGAGTGCGCACAGGTGGTAGCCAGAGGGGATGATGGGAAATGTAGTGTGTTGAGATGGCTGAGCTGGTGGTTGTGACAACCCTAAAGTTGTTGCAAACCTGTATGTATCTGTTTTTTCTACTGAACAAAAATATATTTTGAAGAATGTTTGTAACCAAGCAGTTTTCGGCCAACTTTTACTTACATAGTATTTTTCCTACTATGGAAGTCAACTGTGCCCAAACCTGCTTGGTTCTTCAAAATATCTTTTGTGTTCAGCAGAACAAAGAAATGTATAAAAGGTTGAGGGTGAGGAAATGACTGAATTTTCGTTTTTCGGTGTAATATCCCTTTAACCAAATCACCTACACCTTCTCATGTAAGTATACAAATAGAAGGAGAATCCTAACTGGCATGCTGACACTTTTTTACATTCAAAATACATACCATTCATTTCAGCAGGAGCATCTTCCTGCAGTACATTTTCAGCAGGAATGGTTTCCTCATCTTCGCTGTCATCCTCCTCCTCCTCCTTCTCCTCCTCCTCCGTGAAATCTGAACAAAGAATGGAAACGTACCCATTTTATTTTCAGTTTCAACAACAATTAATAGACGTAACAGCTACAAACATGAATTATGGCTTCCTAATAATTATTAAAGGTCTTTCTTTCTACAATATAGACCTGTGAAGATTGTAGGGATGAGAATCTTGAGGCACCTCATAATTCAATCCGAGTCACAATTCAATTTCAACAAAAATCTTGACCTACATTTTAAATGGTTATTTTAACTATTTATACATTTTTACATTAAGCACTTACAGAAATTGTAAAATGAAATTAAAGTGATGGTAAAGGCTTGTAAAATTTTGCCCTTTAAAATACTGTAAGTGAATACTGTAACACACAGGTCTTCAACCCTGCTTCTGGGGACCCACTATCCTGCAAAGTTTCTTTCCTACCTGCTCCAGCACAGCTGGCCTGTGACTTTTCAAGTGATCCTGAAGACCTTGATTTCCTGGTTCAGGTGTGTTTGATTAGGGTTAGAGCTGAACTCTGCAGGAAAGTGGGTGCCCAGGAGCAAGGTTGTGGACCTTTGCTGTAACAGTTGATCAAGGACCGCAAGAAGCAGTAATAATGAACGAACAAAAACATAACATTTGACGATAAAACTTAACATAGCTTGACGTAAATACCTCCAATTTCATCAAGCGATTTTCCGTGCAGCTTATGTAGCTTTCCCTTTTCCAGTGCAAGCAGCAACTTTGAAATATTTCCACTTTGTATAGTGGGCTCAGACAGTCGGTAGAATTGTCTATGAACTGATTCCTTTCTCTTTGCAATCATCAGATTGAGTGCAGTTGACATTTCGGGAGTTAGTAGAACTGCTACCTTTCTCCCTCTTTTCCCTTTAAGTTCAACACGCTCAAAATAGTTGCACACCTTCTGTTCGTATTCCAACAGTGCCATTCCTTCATGTGTGTTTGAGTGATCTCGTTCAAGAAAATTCCTCAGTTTCATCTTTGACACCTCTCCAATGCGTCTTCTGTTGAAGAGGACTATCTTGGTCAATGTTGTATGTGCTAGACTGGAATAGTTCTGTACTGTTGCCTCTTTCTTCAGTTCTGCAGTTGCCAATTCTGCACTTTTGTCAAGATGCTTGTGAAGTTTTTTGATGTCTTCAGTGAGTGGTAGATTATCTGGTTTATTGTACTTCAAATCACTAATAGTACTCAGAGCACAGTGTGAAATGTACTCTGACCATTTTGCCTGATAAAGTTTCTGGAACGCTTCTGACGATTTAATGAGGTCCTCGTCTCCAGCCATGGGAGCATGACAACGTATAATGTCACTCACTTTTAACAGGGAGTGTCCTATTTTCAAGGCTAGACTTGGAGTTTTGTAACTGTTCTTATCTTTGTCAAATCCTGCTGTCTCCTTTACCGCCTCAATGACCTTCATAAAGTTGCTTGGTTTTATAGCATCCTCTAGAGTTTGGATTGAGGACTTTCTGTGCAAAGTCTGTAAGAAACGTCCAAGTTGGCGGGTTTTTTGACGTATATAGTCATGCTTTGATGCATCATGACCATGTTTGCTATAAAGAGACTCTGCAAACCGTAACAGGCAAAAGTCGTTGCGAACAACATCTGAAATCTTGTCGTCATGCATACGACTTAACATTTTAAGCACGCCATCTTCAGTGCTAGAGCACGCAGATTTGACCAGTGCTGCAAGGCCAAGAACTCGCTTTCTGCCATGATGTTCATTGTCCCCTGGTTTGGAGGAGCACCTCTTCATGTGTCTCCACAACTCGGGCCGTAAAAACATCCCCTTGCAGTGGACACAGTACTCATAATTTTTATAGTCACCTTTAGCCTTTCGCTTGACTTTGAGTGAACCAGATCCATTCTTTAGAACATCATTGTTGTGCATGAAGTTTCCCCTATTCCGAAGTTTCTCAAGCAATTCCTTTCTAGTTTTTGACCTGACAGGGAGACTAAGAGCAATTGCAATGTCACTGTCCTCCTTTATGTGTGTTCTGAAGTGTCGCACTATTTTGAAAACTGGCTTTTGGCAAACAAAGCAGACATTTTGCCCTCCGCTTGTAACAGCAGTTTTGTCTTTGTAGGGTCTTCGTCTGTATCTGATTCGGAGTCTGGAATGTATTCTGGATCTTGTTCCTCATCAGAATCTCCACTTGTGTCAGTTTCCTCCTGAATTAAAATACAAGGAAAACAAAACATAAGGTATGTGTATCTTTGTAATTGTGAAATTTACAAGCAACTTCCAAGTAAAAAAAACCAACAACAATTAACAATAAATTAACAAGGGTTCCCTTGAGTTTGGGGAGTTTTATCTTGTTCTAAGGGGAAACAATTACAGTACACAGGAAACAGGAATCAGAAATGGTGACTGACTGTGACTTAAATGCCAGTCCACCCAAAAATTACTTTGTGCATAGTTCACTCAAAAATAAAAATTATATCTTTGTTACTGACTCTTAAGATGTTCCAAACCTGTATGAATTTCTTTGCTTTGCTGAACACAAAGCACCATATTTTGAAGAATGTTTGTAACTCAGTTCTTGAAGGGTGGGCAGGGGAGCACCAATAATCCTCTCGGCAGTTCGAACCGTTCTCTGTAATCTTCTGATGTCTGATTTTGTAGCTGAGCCAAACCAGACAGTTATTGAAGTGCACAGAAAAGATTCAATGACGGCTGAGTAGAACTGTTTCAGCAGCTCCTGTGGCAGGTTAAACTTCCTCAGCTGACGAAGGAAGTACAACCTTTGTTGAGCCTTTTTTTACAATGGAGTCGATGTGAGTGTCCCACTTCAGGTCCTGGGAGATGATAGATCACAGGAACTTGAATGTCTCCACTGCAGCCACAGTGCTGTTCATGATGGTGTGTGGGGGGAGTGCAGGGGGGTTCCTCTTGAAATCCACGATCATCTCCACTGTTTTGAGTGTGTTCAGCTCCAGGTTGTTGTGACTGCACCAGACAGCCAGCTCTTTAACCTCCTGTCTGTAAGCAGACTCGTCTCCATCCTTGATGAGACCGATGACTGTAGTGTCATCTGCAAACTTCAGGAGCTTGACAGAGGGGTCTTTAGAGGTGCAGTCGTTGGTGTACAGGGAGAAGAGCAGTGGGGAGAGGACGCAACCCTGAGGGGCGCCAGTGCTGGTGGTGCGGCTGTTGGATGTGAATTTACCAATTCTCACTAGCTGTTGCCTATCTGTCAGAAAACTGGTGATCCATTGACAGATAGAGCTAGGGACAGAGAGCTGGGTTAGTTTGGTCTGGAGTAGCGTTGAGATGATGGTGTTGAAAGCGGAGCGAAAGTCCACAAACAGGATCCTCACATAAGTCCCTGTTTTGTCCAGATGTTGCAGGATGAAGTGCAGTCCCATATTGACTGCATCATCCACGGACCTGTTTGCTCGGTAAGCAAACTGCAGGGGGTCTAGTAAGGGTCCAGTAATGTCCTTCAGATAAGCCAACACCAACCTCTCAAATGTCTTCATGACCACAGACGTTAGGGCCACAGGTCTGTAGTCATTAAGTCCTGTTATCTTGGGTTTCTTTGGGACGGGGATGATGGAGGAGCGTTTGAAGCAGGCAGGGACTTCGCAAAGCTCCAGTGATCTGTTGAAGATATGTGAGAAGATGGGGGCCAGCTGGTCAGCGCAGGTTTTCAGACAGGCTGGTGTCACACCGTCTGGGCCTGGTGCTTTTCTTCTCTTGTTCTTTCTGAAGACCTGGCGCACATCATCCTCACTGATCTGAAACGTAGGAGTGGGGGAGAGGGGGGTTGCAGGAGGTGTTGATGGTTATGTGGAGAGATGTTCAGAGCGGGTGTGGGGTGTTAGACTGGGAGTTTCAAATCTACAGTAAAACTCATTCAGGTCTTCAGCAAGTTGTTGATTGGCCTCAGTGCTGGGGGATGGTGTCTTGTAGTTGGTGATGTCTTTCAGGCATTTCCACACTGATGCAGGCTCATTGGCAGAAAACTGGTGTTCTAGCTTTTTAGCGTAGTTCCTCTTGGCCACTCTAATCTCCTTATTCAGTGTGTTTCTGACCTGATTGTACAAGACTCTGTCCCCCCTTTTGTAGGCGTCCTCTTTGGCCTGACGAAGATGACGAAGTTTTGCTGTAAACCATGGCTTATCATTGTTAAATGAGTCCTGGTAGGGATGCACATGTCTTCACAGAAACTGATATATGATGTTACAGATTCCGTGAGCTCGTCCAGATCGTTGGTGGCTGCTTCAAAAACACTCCAATCAGTGCAGTCGAAACAGGCTTGCAATGCCTGCTCTGTTTCATTGGTCCATCTCTTTACAGACTTTACTACAGGTTTAGCAGATTTAAGTTTATGCCTGTAAGTCGGTATAAAATGAACCAGGCAGTGGTCAGAGTCCTACAGCTACTCTGGGGACCGAGCGATATGCATCCTTTATTGTGGAGTAACAATGGTCCAGTATATTACTGTCTCTGGTGGGACATGTAACATGCTGTCTGTATTTTGGCAGTTCACGGGAGAGATTTGCTTTATTAAAGTCCCCGAGAATAATTAAAACAGAGTCCGGGTGTTGTTGTTCTGTCTCTGTGATCAGATCAGCGAGTTTCTGTAAAGCTGAGCTCACGTGCGCTTGCGGAGGAATGTAAATACTCACGAGAATGAACGAGTGAAACTCCCACGGCGAATAGAACGGCTTACAGTTAATGAAAAGCGATTCTAGATCGGAACAGCACATCTTCTTTAACGCTGTAACATCTGTACACCACCTTTCGTTGATGTAAAAACATGTCCCGCCGCCACGTGATTTCCCCGTTGATTCTGCGTCACGGTCCGCTCTGAACAGCTGAAAGCCCAGCAGTTGTAGCGCGCTGTCCGGAATGGCGTCATTCAGCCAGGTTTCCGTGAAACACAGAGCAGCAGAGTGTGAAAAATCCTTATTTGTCCGGGAGAGCAGAAGAAGTTCGTCCGTTTTGTTGGGTAGAGAGCGGAGATTCGCCAGATGGATGCTAGGCAACGGCGTTCTGAATCTGCGCTTCCTGAGCTTCACGAGCACGCCGGCTCTCTTCCCCCGTCTGCGCCGTCCTGAAGCGCTTGATCAGCGCAGCAGCTCCGCCGACTACAACGTTCAGCAAAACGTCCGAATAAACGAAATCCGGTAGAAGATTGTGTGGTGTGTTCTGCCGAATGTTCAGCAGCTCATCCCTGGTAAAACTGATCGTGTTTGAGAAACAAAAAACAGGAAAAACTAACAAAAACAGTACAAACACTGGAGAGCCAAACACTGAGGCTGCCGTCTGCGGCGCCATCGCATGAATTAAAATAGAAATTACAGTGCATTTCTTAGAATTTTACATTTACATTTTACATTACAAAGCCACATTTGTCAAAACTTTAAATGGTAGCCTAAAGCCTTGTCTGAAAGTTTTGAAAAAAGTTTTAAAAGCCTTGAATTTTAAATGGTTATAGAATATGACGATTTAAATTGTTTTGCCACAACTACAAAAAAATTATTATTGCAATTAGCTATCACATTTTAACATTTAGTGTTTCCAGATTTACATTTTTGAGATAACTTCAGGGCCGGCGCTATCTATAGGCATAGCAGGCAATTGCCTAGGGCAATGGTTTTCAACCTTTACTCCAAGGCCCCCTTCCTCTCCTCTCTATGGAGCTGGAATTGCAGGCGGTGAGTAAAACTGCATCAAACGTCTGTGTTTTGTTGCCAATAGGCCCGTGACTCTTAAGATCCGCCCATGGCACGCCTCCAGGAGCTCAGCTGTTTTCGGAGAGAATCGTAAAGCTGTATCTTTCTTTTATAAATCTGATAAAACTAAAGACTCTTCGGCGATATGAAGGATGCAATACTAATATATAGGTACTCAAGATTAACATGAGATTGGCGAAAATGTGTGTGTTATGTCCCCTTTAACAAATTAGCACAAGTCAACCTGCCATACCAAACAAGACCACAGGGAGATGCCAAAGGACTGCAATATAAACGACTTAGGGTGTATTCACACCTGTCTTGTTTGGTTCGATTGAATCGAACTCAAGTTAATTTCCCCCTTTGGTGCAGATCTTTTGGGCAGGTGTGAATACAGCAATTGCACTCTGATGCGGACCAAACAACCGTACCGAGACCCAGCTGAAGACGTGGTCTCGGTCCGCTTCCAAACAAACTCTGGTATGGTTGAATGGATGAACCAATGAATGGATGACCTTAAGCACATGTGTGGTTTTGTTTACAGTTTCTGGTTCACTTGCAAAAAGGGCAGTGTGAAAGCGAACCGCA